TCGCTGAAGGCGGTCAACTCTTCAGTTTGCATTCTAATCAGTTGGTTCATTACGCCGCTCAATTCGTCCATGGATCCACCCCTGTACCCGTTTATCACCGCCTCCAGTTGCTTGGTGTGCTTGTGAAGGAAACCGTTCATTCGTACCGTGCAGTAAAGTTCGAATTCCCGCTTGCGTTTCCTGAATCTCCTTTCGTCGTCTACCGTCGTCACGGTCGTTTGCCTCGTCGTCCCTTGAGGACCAGTGACCTGTCTTTCGGTGGTGGTTCGTCCTTCCCTCCTCGGAAGAGGCATCGTCGAGGACATGGCATTCCTTTGTCCTTCTTGCGGTTGCAATGGAAGAGAGGTAGCGTGTTGTTGCTGCTGTTCTGCTGCTGCTGCTGTCCTCCGCCTGGCATCGGCAATATCGTTGGTGGCAATAGGAACTCCGGAACGTTGTACTGAGTTTCATTCAACATGGAATCCGTATACTTTCCACTCAAAGGATTGACAACTGCAGGAGCGGTCGTCGACAGTCCGGGATCCGTCATTGATTGCCTCCTGGGTACCGGCAGTGAGTGCCTCCTGGGAGCCGGCTGCGATTGCCTCCTGGGAGCGTTTATTAAAAACTGGTGTGGTATTGGCTTGGGAGGTATTGGAGGCCATTTGAATGCTTGCTTGGGAGCAATTCCTGCTGGAGCGGTCGTCGACAGTCTGGGATCCGTCATCGATTGCCTCCTGGGCACCGTCAGTGAGTGCCTCCTGGTAGCCACCGGTGATTGTTGTCTGGAAGCGATCGGTGATTGGATGGGAGGAGGAGGCGTCGGCACTAGACCGGGAAACATTGGTTGAAAGCTGCCATCCATTGGTGATTGGCTGGCAACCATTGATGCTTGAGGAGACTGCGGTTGCCTCTGAGGAGAGGACCTCGCGACGGCACGGTGGCGGCAGTAAATTCATGTCTCTCGCTTTTTGCTCTATATCTTTTCGGGACAGCAAAAGAGGCTTAAGATGTTCCGGCAGTCCGGCTCGCATATTCGCAGTGGCGTTTGGATCGTAGGCGGATAAATCTGGTAAGGTTGCTTGGATGATGGTACGATGTGCTTGAAATTATCAGGCAACACGTTACGCATGAACGAGCTGGAATTGGGATCAACTCCAGCAGCTCTCATTTGCATCGCTTTCTGTGCCATATCCTTTCTGGACAGCAAAAGAGGCTTAAGATGATCCGGCAGTCCGGCTCGAATATTCGCCGTGAAATTTGGATCATCAGCAGATGGTAACGGTTGCCTACTTGATGGTACGATGTGCTTGAAGTTATCAGGCAACACGTTACGCATGAACGTGCTAGAATTGGGATCGACTCCAGCAGCTCTCATTTGCATCGCTTTCTGCTCCATATCCTTTCTAGACAGCAAAAGAGGCTTAAGATGATCGGGCAGACCGGCGCGATAGTTCTCCGTGAAATTCGGGTCATCGGATCTACTTTGCTGAAGCGATGATCCTGCTGAAGAACACGGTGTTTCCGGACGGCACGACGACGACGACAGATCGGCGAATATTGGCGGCGCAGCTGGATGCAGCGCACCAGGCGCGCTCCTCGTGAAAGCCTGAGGAGGAGCACGACGAGGAGGTGTAGATCCTGGCATCTCATATTCTGGCAACGAATTATACATCATCTGTCTATAAGTAAAGTCGGAAGAAGGACCTTCTCCATCTGCAAGTAACACATTCATTGATCCGCCACTTCTCATTTATCTCATTGATATACCTTTATAGAAAACGCTGCTATAATTTGTCGAAACACCTTCCAATCCTGGTGGCATTCTGCGCGAAGATTCATCTAAGAAAGATGGTGAAGGAGGTGCTGCAGTATTGTGTCCAGGCGATCCGAACCAACCGCCAACTTGAAATTACAAATGCAACAGAAACGTTTAGTATCGCAAAGCGCGCGCAAATTATTTCATTCAAACCGAACCATCGCTTCCACCGAACGTGTTATTGTTCGGAGTTCTTCGCTGCTGCTGTGGAGAAGCTCGTCTTGGAGTTGGAGAGGCAGGCGGAGGAGTCGCAGCAGATCTTATGGCTTTAACAAACAACAATAATTACGATTTCAACGTTTAAATCCGTTTGAATTATTTTACCTAAACCCCTTTGTCGACTCTCGTTCTGTGGGCTGGCGATGCGCGAACTCGAACCATCGTCAGCGAATATTTCAAATCTCATCTGATCCGCATATTGTGCACGGTCTTTCGCTCCACCAGGAGAAGAGATCGCGCTCAGATTGAGAGTGTCGTCCTTCGAAGGCCCGAAGGCCGCTCGGGTCTCGTTGTAGTTCACATGGCGCTCCCTGGACGTACTGTTGAATTTGGGCATGGTTTTGGGCACTGAAATTTTGAGTTAAAAGACATCTGCCGGAAGAGACGATGTGTGAGAGAGAATTCGTTTGACAAATAATTTTGACACTTTAATATTTAACGAGAGAAAAAAAAATGGAATTACGAAAAAAAAACAAAACAATCATTTGAACGATTCCAAGAGATTAGTGGAAATATCGTCTAGACTGTTCAGACTTGTCGTCTCGAGGAAGAGTTTCCTGCGAGCCCTCTGAAACTCCTGCAGATTCCTGTGCAGATTCTTGAACTCCTGCTTATCCATCGTGTCCAGTACGTGCATTATATCTTTCGTCGCCAAATTACCGTTCGACGGCTTTCGCAGTTTCGTCTCGTCCTCTTTGTAAGCGCACTCGTGATCCACCTGAAGAGGCCTTAAAGATCTGTTTTAATTTATCAAAGCTTCGGGATATCGACTTACGGAATGATGCTCCGGTTGCATCTTGTAGGTGGGATTGACGAAACCTTAAAACATTGAAATTTAACGTTTACTTTAACGATTCTCGTCGCTTACTTACAAGTGTTCAAAGCGGTTTTCGTTTGCTCGTAATCAGTGTAAACTACGTCTTCCTCGTAAACGCTCTCCTGCAGATCCTCCTCTTCGATGCAATTCAAATTCGTATCGTACACCGGTGGATAACTGTTGAATTGCCTGTCGTAAACATCGTAGTAGTAGTAGTCAGGGGCTTCCCCGTACGCAGCAGGATGAACGATTCCTGCGGCTTCGGCGTTCGGCTCGAAGTACGGTTTGGCGACCACCGTCTCCATCTTCTGGACGTCGTACGGGATTTCGATGACGGTCGTCTGATTCGGATCTATCAATCCTTCCGGTATTAAAATCTTCTTGGACATTTCGCTGAATTTTGTTGCATAAGTTACCTAACGTGTTTTTTTTTTGCGATGACGCGATTTTGACATTTCCCTCAAAAAACGGGAAAACAAAAGAAAATTGACAAAAAACAAAATTTCGTTACGTCAAAATTGGAAGTGAAGAAGAACGCGCGTCGTCATCATCATGTCGATGAGCGCGAAACCCAGCGTGGATTCGGCGGCGAAGCGCGGTAAAAGCTCGTCTTCGAAGAACGGATCCGTGCAGAATGCGAACGTGAGTAATAGAGTCGTCGTTGACGCTTCGCCGAGACCCGGGGGTTATTTGAAAGTGTTGAATCCTCAAGACGCGATGAACGCTTTGACAGTTATGGTGCCGCCGGAACTTTCAGAGCACACTTGCTGTTGCAAAACGAAACAGAAGCACAGCAAGACTTGGTGAGTTGGTATCCATCTATCCATCTATCCATCTATCCATCTATCCATCTATCCATCTATCCATCTATCCATCTATCCATCTATCCATCTATCCATCTATCCATCTATCCATCTATCCATCTATCCATCTATCCATCTATCCATCTATCCATCTATCCATCTATCCATCTATCCATCTATCCATCTATTATCCATCTATCCATCTATCCATCAATTGATTAAATTGTATTCATTTTTTAGCGTGGATGAATCGAGGCGGCTCGTGAAGAAAGACGGAAGCAAAGACACGAAAGATACGCCCGTGAACACTTCGTCGCATTCGACGACGCGCGATTTCCGCATAACGAAAGCCATCGAGGAATCCGATTGGGACGTTTCCAGTATAGAGGGCGACATCGGCGGGGCGGAATCGACTGCAGAGGTCACCTTCAAAGAGACGAAGGCCAGTTTGAACATGACGTCGATGCTGATCAGCACCGTGATGATGCTCGCCTCGGACAATCCGGTTCCCGACGAGTACATCGACGCCACGGTAGCGTTCCTCGAGTGCGTCACCGACGACGACGCGAACACTCCGCCGAACGCGCAGAGTCTCCTCAATCACATCGAGCTGAAGACGGGGAAATTGGCGAAGAAGAAGGACTGCACGGAATGCGGGTACACGGTGCTCACATCCGAGAAGGCCAAGTCCACTAACGTCGCCGAGTGACAGGCGTCATTCTCCTCGCAAAACCGACGTTAACAAATAATTACCAAAAAAAAGTTAAGATCATCCAAAATTTTCCGTTCTAACAAAAAAAAAACACACAATTAAAGCAGCCACGATGAGCGAACGTAAGTTATAATTAGATTGCAAAGAAATGTATTGATTAATTTGAGATTTTGCAGCCGAGACATTAACAGTTGACGTCCCGCAAAGCCCCAGCAAGATTGTGAGCACAGTTAAAACGCACGGTCCTGGTGATGCCACAGTTATAGTAAGATTTAGAACCAATTAATTTGATTGTTTTTGTATCAATTTCCTTGATTTTTGCAGAGTAAAACCTACGTTAGATTGCCTTTAACGACGTGCAGAGATACCGATGGGAGGAAAGACAGCAAACGCGATTTGTACGTGATTTCTATTCTTTTTTACTAGTAATAAATCTTTAATTTACTATTTCAGATCGTTCAAGGAGTTCGATAAGACTATAATACAGCAAGATCATAAGCCGAAGCTTCCCGCGATCAGTTCGAAAGCGGAGTGTTTCACCCCGATGCCGTACATGTTTCGAATTCCGGCTCTTCAGACGGCCGGAGCGGCGCCAATCTCGTTGAAGACGACGAAATGTCCGCCGTTCTACATACAGTTGGATCACGCCATCGCCGTTGTGTGGAGTCTGTTCTCGCACGAGGAGTACCGGAAACCCTTGGGGATCAATCAGCTGCAATGGGCGTACGCGTTTCTGGACACCATAAGGGATTTCAAAGGCAAACACTCGCCTGACGTCGAGTACTGCTTGGATGTCATCTCCGACGAGCTGATCGCTCAGTACGCCGAGCTCGCCGACGACGTGCAGTTCATCAAGGAGTCGAAGGACAAGAAGAAGGTCACTTCTACGCCGGCCAAAAACGCTTCGAAAGGGTCCAATCTGCAAGAGGAATCGGGCACCAGCTGGAAGACCGCATCCACCGGATCGGTTAAAAACGAAAAGTCGGATGTGATGGTGAAGAGGGACGTTCCGTTTTCCATCAATTACATGGACATGATTACGAGGACCCCGTCGAACATTCAACTCGACAATTCGAAGTCGTGCAAATCGTGCGGCGCAGTTGGAACCGAAGCGAACGCGTCCAAATCGAACATGCTCAACTTCTTGTCGGAGTGGAGGAAGGATCAGGTCAAGAAGATTCACATGGAGTTGGATCGTCTTCATTCGATTGAAACGTACATTGGAAACGCGAATTCGGGCGTCGAACCCTACATGGACGAGAAGGACAAGGAAATGCACGTGCTGCTGGGTGAAAAGATGAAGAGGATGCAATAGAAATTCTTATCTCTGTCCTGTTTTAATAAACGATATCAAATTTCAATTATTAAATTAATTAATATACACTAATTGTGTTTATGCAATTTTGTATTCAAATTTCAAATTAAATCCGTTTGCAGCTAACTTCAAGAACGTGCTGCTCTCTGATTGGTCGATCGGAAAAGGTTCGCGTCTCGGCTTAAGTTGCGGTCGTCGCCATCTTCAGTCTGGTGTTGTGCTTCGAACGGTGCGCGTCGCTCCTGCTTTTCTCCGGATTTTATGCAATGAAATTAATCAATTTTGGACCAATCAATCGGTGAGTCTTTGCACTTAGCCTTAATTAATTATACTAACGACTTTATTGTGCTATTTCTTTAATATCTAACAAATAAAATATAATAAATAATTCGAATTTTAAACCGTTCGTGATTACATTCTAAATTTGTACTTATAAATTATAAATTTCTGTATTAATTGTAACACTTTATTTGGATTAATTAATCCGTTATTCGATCAAATACGTTTTAATAATTGCATATTTTTTTTTCGAATTCGAATATTTTTTTAGTTCCATGACGCTTCCGCTCAGCTCGGCGGTGGCGCTGATGGCTGAAACTGGGGGATTTAATCGACAGCAACTTCAGTCCGGTTTTCGGCAGCGAAGTGTGCGCAACCCATCATGCATCGTTTATTCCAGAATCTCGTCAATTCATATAGGATTTTGAGCAACTTTATATTTGGTGAGTTTATACTTTATCCAATTATCAACAATTATTTCTACGATTTGTTTATTTTACATTAATCAATTTTAAATTAATTAACACCTTTTAAATGTTTTTTTTATTTAAAAAAAAATAAAAAGAACATAAATAAATTTATATAATTTTAAAAAAGTCAACTGATACCAAGGGCTAAGATTTAAATATTAATTTGATTTTTATTTTTTAGTGCGGATTTTACGAAATGCGCTAGGCAATTGAGTGTCGTCAATAGTCTACTGAAGTTTCCTCTCCTTAGTCGTTGATCAGCAGACAATTTTGTGAGGCTACTTCTATTGGGGACACGACTTAAAGAAGGTGAGGCAATTTAAATATTTGAATATTTATTTTCATTTGAATTCCGAAAATCGTCTAAAGGCGCCACTAGATGGTGGTGTTCAAATTACGAATAAGATGTGAGCTTAATAGATTTCGTATTAGATCAATTACAAAAAAATATTCATTGAAACTTAGTAAAAATTTTAATTTCAAATTAAGATTTTAATAAATTTCAATGAATCTTGATACTATCGTGCTGTCAGTTTGACAGATATAGTTTGCGTAGTTTGAACGGTTTTATTAACCTCTTCTGTTAGTTTTATTTGCTTTTTTTTTATAATTTTTCAATCATCCTTGGAGAAGATGCGTTCGCAACGTTACGTCCCATCTCATCAGTCCAAATCGTGGACGGACGATCTGCCTGTGTGCAAGCAGTCGGGTGTGGGATTCTCCACTAATCAGGTCTACAGGGAGGATGGCAACAGGCAGGAGGAGCACTCCTTCGAGGACAGAAATTTCCACACCAAATTGGATGCTGAGAATCTGTTTCTGTATGGTATCTTCGATGGCAATGAAGGTCAGCGAGCCGTGGACTTTTGTGTGCAGAGGATGCCAGTGGAATTGCTCTTCGGCCAGCTGAATCCTTCTATGAGTGATGAGGAAATCAAAGACGCATTGAGGTGACTAAATCAATGATATTAATCATTGTACTGTGATGTAAATTTTTTTTTTCTTGAATATTTCAGGCAAGCCTTTCTGTCGGTGGAGAAATCTTATATGGATTCAGTGCTTGATTTGCTAGCACTAAGAGCGTCTTTTGATATTCCCGAGGTGGCGCCTTTTTTTAAAGAGTCACAAGAGATGATGGGTATCAATTCCGAGCTATCTTCGGGGACTGCTGTTGCCATAGCCTTGATTTACAATGGGAAATTGTACGTGGCGAACGTGGGGAACTGCCGTGTTCTTCTGTGCTACACCGATACTAATTATGTGTTGCGTGTTAAGCAATTAACGGTGGATCACGATTTGAAGAATGAGGACGAACTGTTGAGGCTCTCGCAATTCGGAATTAACGTTGATAAAATGAGAGAAAGTAATATTCTATGGAGTTTGGTTGGTCTGCGTCGTATTTATTATTTGTTTTTGGTTGCAGGTTGTGTTATTGGAAATCAGTCGGCTACCAGATGTTTGGGCAATTATCTTATTAAAGGAGAATACAAAGATATGCAGGATCTGGCTATGGCCACACATGAGCCGATCATTGCCGAGCCGGACATCGTCGGAGGGATTCCAATAGAGGAAAGCCACAGGTTTCTGTTGCTCATGTCCGCTGGATTGTATAAATGCGTGGAAGAGACGAAGACTACGGATCAAACTAATCAATATATTGCTCAGTGCGTCGTTGAACAGGTATTTTAGATTATTTAGCCTAATATATATATAATAATGTATAATTTTCCAGTTCAGAGTGCAAGGAACTCTAAATGGCGTTGCTCAATCGGTGGTGGATAAAGTCGCTCGCCTCCACCACGACTCCTACGTAACGGATTCGTTCACGAATGATGGCATGAAACGGGAAGACATCACGCTGATCGTAAGGAATTTTAACTATCCAATGCCGAACGCGAAATCGCCCACCGTTCCATCGATCACCTTTAACCCAATCGTTTCGAGCACGGTGCTCAGTGCCCATTCGACACTGACGGACACCTATACGACAGCCGGCTCTGCCCACAACGGCACTTCGAGCGTATCCACAGCTAAAGCCCAGAAAGTTGCGACGCCCAACGAGCGAATCAAGAGCTACGTAGATTGCAACGAGTTCTACAAGTACGTGAAGCTGGCCAAAGCGAAAGGCACCCTGCCCGATGGCCTCGATCTCTAGGTGATGATGACCAGCGGTCATTTTTAAACTGAAGAAATTGTGATACCGTTCTTTTATTTTACTGTTGCGCTTAGCTAGTCATATTTAATCCAATTATTTTGTTAAAAAAGAAAACACATTGTTGTTATTATTTCAATCCCAATCAATGTTTAAAGTAATATCGAATAGTAATTATCTACAATGATAAAAATGTTATTTCTATACTCATTTTTACTTGAATGTATAATTCTAATGAGAATACAAATAATATTTATTGTAAATAATTATAAAATTGTAAAGCCAAAGAGTTGCAAACTTTAGTGGTTTTACAATTTATTGGCAAAACAATGATTAAATAACATTAGAAGATACCAGAGAGTTATTGAGGATGCATATACTATCGATACTATCTTTTAATGTCTATAAACTAATCTAATAACTTTTGTGAACATACACATCACGAATTTCCAATTGAAAAACGTTAATTTCCAATAGTAAATGATGAAAGAAGTGCGAGAGGGATGGAAATAAAAGGTTCGGTGCATGTTCATTTCAGTACAAATGTTTATTAGTTTTGTTTGTAGTTTTCTATGCATTTAATATGATTGTACAATTTTATCAAAATTTTAACTATTTATTTAATTAATTAATAATTATTATTATATATTTCTTTTTTTAATCCTTAATTTTATAAATGGCAGCGCGCACATCATATTTGATACACCTTGTATAATTTTCCTAATGGTGATTGAGAGAGAGAGATAACAACGAAATCAAAGGTAAACGAAACGAGATAAAATTTTAAAAACTTAAACATAATTTTTACAATAATCCTGTATGCGTGTGTTTGTTTTTGTGTGGAATATTTGTTGCTTTCTTCACATATCTACAAAATATGTAAACGTTTAAAGAAAAGTGTTTGTATAGGCACTAGTTTGAATCTATATAATCTTTTCTGCTGTTGATGTTTTTGTTGTTGCTTTGCTTTTTGTGTGTTTATTAATATCATCATCATCTTTGTTTTCTTCTTCTAGGCGGATGGCATGCACTTGAAGCGCTCGAAGGCGGCCTTCTCGAGGTTCGCGCGGTGGTCTGGATGAGCGATCTGGATGAGGGCGTGCGCCCTTTGCCTCAAGGACTTGCCGAACAAATTGGCAATTCCGTGCTCGGTGACCACGTAGTGGACGTGGGCGCGACTGGTGACGACGCCGGCACCTGAGGATGAGAGAACGTAAATAAAAATAATGTGCTATGTGTCTAGACGACTAGCAGAATCGTTTGGCAAACGGCGAGCGGCGCCTGCAGCTAAACTTTTGGCACTCACCGAGTTTCGGGGTGATGGCGATCTTGCTTTCGCCCTTATTGGTGACGGATGGCAAAGCGATGATTGGCTTTCCCTTGCCGTCCAAACCTTCGGCGGCGCCTCTGATGAAGTCCACCTGACCACCGAAGCCCGAGTACATTCTTGTTCCGATGGAATCGGATACGACCTGCCCGGTGATGTCAACCTCGATGGCCGAGTTGATGGCAGTCATCTTTGGCTGTTCGGAGATGACCCCTGCGAAAAGGTGAGAGCTTATAAAACAAATCTTACAATATAAAAAACAAATTCTAACGTACTTGTGTTGTTCACATAGTCGATGGTCAACATTTCGATGAAGGGATTGTTGTCGACAAAGTCGTACAGTTTCTTGGTGCCGATGAGGAAAGAGCCGACGATGCGGCCCTTGTGCTTCGTCTTCATGGAGTTGGTGATGCATCCCTTCTCGGCGAGCTCGACGACGCCGTCGGCGAACATCTCCGAGTGGATACCCAGATCCTTGTGGTTGGTCAACTGAGAGAGGACGGCATCGGGGATGTTGCCGATTCCCATCTGCAAGGTGGCGCCGTCCTCGATCAGGTTCTCGGCGATGTGCTTGCCGATCTGAGTCTCAACGGCGCTCAATGGACGACCTCCGTGCACTGGCAGCGGAATGTCAGTCTTGATGGCGTAATCGATGTGACTGATGTGGATGATGCCATCACCGAAAGTCCTCGGCATTTGCTGATTAATTTGAGCTGAAATAAACGCAAACGGTAAGAGAACTTTGTTCAAAAATTCTAATCGTAGAATACTGACCAACAATATATTTGGAGTTTTGCAGGGCGGACCTGACGACGTCGACGCTGGTACCCAAACTGCAGAAACCATGCGAGTCCGGTGGGGAGACCTGGATGAGGGCGATGTCGGGCCTGACGATTTTCCTGTAGAAGAGCAACGGGATTTCGTGCAGGAAGATGGGGATGGCATCACCTCTACCCTCGCTGACAGCCTTGCGTACGTTTCCGCCCATGAAGAACGAATTGGATCTGCAAGCAAATTAGAAAGGTACTTACAAATAAACACAAACAATTAATATGACAATTTTTACCTGAAGATGCCTTCGCACGATGGATCGCAGTACAGAGCCGGTCCTTCGGTGTGCATGTGGCATACCATCACATCCTTGAGTTTGTTCTCCTTTCCGAACTTTGTCATAGCCTCGATCAGGACGAGTGGGGTGGCAGCCGCACCCTGGATGTAAACGGTATTTCCTGTAATATTAAAACACATGTTAAAACACAGGTATATATTGCATACATACATACACATATTGATTTAGATTCATTTTATTGATTGAACTCGCATTGTTTTCAAGTTCGCGTAATACGATTCATGTTTATATTTAACATTTCGACAAAGGCCTCCTCTCTCTCTCTCTCTTATCTCACCAATCCAACGCATTCATATAAACACCTTATCAAGAGCGCGCAAGTATCGATACCCTTTTGTTTCGCTGCTTATTTATTATTATTCTTTTGTTTTGTTTTTTCTCTCTCGCCACTCTCGTATATTTGCATGAAACAATTACGTGATCGTGTTTACATAAAATCTTGACTACATGAATATGCAACACGCTCATTATAAAATTTATAATTTTTGCATAATTCCAAATTAAAATCTAAACATCTAAATTTAACTAGTTTTAAATTCCAATTCACTGGATAATCAAATATGTAAACATTTAAATTACCGACAATTTCAAGTCAATTGCTTCTTGGAAAAAAGAAAATATGTACTAGGCGCATGCATTCTAAATCGGTTTGCACTTTACACAATGATTATTGAATTTTCCATTTAATTAAATATCTATATATGACTCAATTTTGTCTATTAGATTTGTAAACAACATATATATCCAACGAAACAAGTCATGTGTCGCAATTGATTAAATAAAGTCATCCGAAATCGTACGATTACAATCATTATGCATAAGTGAACTGATACGAGAGAGCGAGAGAATACACAGAAGTAATTTGAAAAATATATATAGAGAGAGAGAAAGAGAGAAAAGAAATGCCCTTGAGTCAAATAAGTCACATTCGTTACGTAACTGCTGCCGTCGCTGCACGGTCGGAAGCAAAACTTGAACAGGTTTTAATTTTAAACACGCGAACTTGCAGCATATTTGTTTCTTTCTCTCACCACGATACTTTTTTTCAAACTATATAGATTCTACAACTTAACACAATAAACTCATCAAAACTCTTACACATATTTATAGATTGAGACGAATTCAACATAAAATCATGATGAATTAATCTCAAATGTCTCTAGACATGCCACAAACAAAATATATTCATGATACGTTTAAAACTCATTTACTAGATATTTCCGCTTACTCTCGAGTCTCTCACAGACTTATCAAACAAAATGTATCTAATCTAATAATAGAATTAACCCATATTTTTCAAAAACACTAAAATATTTAAAAAGCAAACCAATTATTATTCAGTTACATTTTTTTGTAAAAGTGGTAATTCTTCGCTATAAATCTCAATACAATCTCTTTTTTTTTTTCTTGTTTGTTGGCAACTGAATTTAAAGATATTTCTGGATTCTCCTAAATGTTTCATATTTCATCAATTCGCTATATATTTTCGAATTATATATATGTATATACAAATATAAATAATAAAAATAAAAAAGAAGAGAGTGTGTGTAGATTGCGGCATTGGGATTCGCATCATCGGACCACCGATACGGCGCCAAATATAATCATTGTATCTATAAATACTTGACTTAATATATATTATACACACACACACGAAGAAACTGTGGCCAAAATTATGTTCGAACGGAGCGCAACTATTTTCGATATTCGAATGAATCGCAAACAAACAAAAACATGTAAAATTACATTCTTATATCGTTTTGAAATATACATTTTTGTATTCGATATTCTAGAACTGTAAAGTAAGCACGTAAAAGTAATGAGTGTTTTGATGAGTTTAATGCTTTGATCAATAGGAATTAATGCAAAGCGTATAATTCAGTATTCAATACAATAATTAAAACTATTAAAGTTATCGAGATTAATTTAGATATTATAGGAGAATTACATAGAACAGAAATTATACACTTTGCTATTGATCGAGAGAGTACACACACAATATGATGTTTGATTTCGTTTCGTTTTTCTTTTATCGCATTAGAAATATTAGTATCAAGCGATTAATGACTTTGTATTATTTCTAGTGCGATAAATTTACGTGCACCGCTGCACCTAAGTCGACTAAAGTAAACACGCGTTTATGTCCACATCACAATCATTTTATCACACAAAAGCAATCGAAAGTAATCCTAGATGCGTTCAATTACACTAAATATTATGATAATTTCGTTATTAAGTCTTTGATATGTTTAGTGTTTATCGATAAGTTCACTGTACTTGACGAAAAAGTAATAATTTTCATCGCGTCACGATGAGTGTACATTTATTGTTCCATAAAAATGTACACTCATCGATTATGTAATTTTTCAATAGATTTAAAATTAGAATTTTAACTTATTTTTTCGTGTTAAGTAAATTCTATTTCCAGCAATGTTTTTTTGGGGGGCGAATCGCAATTGACGTAATTTACATATTCGTAATAATAAACAAAACTCGCGCGCGCCTCTTTGGACATCGACCAGAACGCGCATTTTACGCACGTAAAACAAAGTGCGCGTGTTCCGTCTCGCTCGCTCCAAATGAACCGCGAATTAATGCGTTTCAGTCCTTCTATTATCTTATCAATTAACGAACTTAGCCTAAATCAAATTTATAATCATGCTGTAGTAGAAGTAGTCATATGGTAGACATTAACATTGTACCAATTAAATTACGTGCAAATATTGATGCTCTCGCATTTTGTAAACGGCAGATAACGCGCATTTATTATTAAATGAACGTCATTGTTCCCAAAAAAATCATTTGATTCGCGTTGCGTAACCGAATTTCGCGTTCAACGTTAAATGTAAAACACACACACAAAACCTATTGTTTGCCCTTGCAATTTATCCAGTGTTTGTCTAAATTATTCGTGACGAGAGAAAAGGCAATGTCTCTAAATACGTCGTAAATTGCATCGGCATTATATAAATCATTTCACGTTGCTAAATTCATGAAATGTAGTTGTAGCAATCACGGCGTATGTTGTTGAAAATTGGAGATGTTAAACGTGGCGTTTTCTTTTTGTAATCGACATTATCATTATCCTAGTCGATTGTTTATTTTTACTTATGTTATTATTTTCTATCTTTTTTTTTTCGAGTTTTAAACAAATGTATGGGGTCAGAGTCCATCTTCAAAGTTCTCTAGTACAGCCAGCAGTTTAATTACAAAGGTCATTCCGTTTTGATAAAGCGAGAGCAGGCAACTTTATGTAATGCTGCCGAGCGACGGTTACATAAATTCAAGTAAACCTTGAGCATTAAACCCTTTCTTCTTCGGTGATTAAATTATGTTGTTGCAAAACAAACAAACAAAAAAATGAAGTTAATTGCAAGGGTTTGATGATTTTGAGGATGGGACGGTTTCAAAATTAGATAATTAAGTGGGCTGATGCGCGTGTCCTAGATTCCGTTGTTTACGAAAATTCGCGCCGCAGAGGGCAACGTTTCTAGGACTTCCTTCTCCTACACAGAGACGCGGGGGGTGTCAATGATCTTGATGAAAAAAAAAAGGCCACCCCCGCTTGTATTATGTGTCTCGGTCCATTTTTTTTTAAAGATCAATTGTAAAATAAAAAAATCGGATCATTTCGAAATTACCTGACTGGAGCTTTTCGAAGGCCTGGTCGGGTGTAACGAATTTCGGCTCCTTTCCGGGGATGGGTTGAGCAGGTTCATTGACGTAGGTATAGTACGTCCTCGGGCTGATCTTCTTGATGTGCGACAAGAAACTCCCGAATTTCGACACATTGTTCACAGCCGCTGAAGCCATGTTTTCGTTTTCGTTGCAAAGCAAAAAAAACAACAATAAACAACAAGGTGATCTCTTGTTCTCTTCTCCTCCGTGTCTCGCGTTACCGAATCTCTCTGGATACCTGGCCCAAACCAGCCAGCACCGCACTCCAATTGGAAATGGTTTTCAGTTTACACGCACGCATCGTGCTCGGCGCACCGATTCCGTTCATTCCTCTCCCACTACATCATCCAACAAGTTTCCATTCAACTCCATCTAGGAACGATCACGATCCAAAGGAAGAGATCTACATCCAATTCCATATTAATATTTAATCAATGTATGCATTTCAACATATACAAAAGTGTTCGTTGAGTTGCCGAACATACATGTAACCTTAAATCCAAAATAGTTTAAAACGTTAGATCAACTTTGTTTAAAACTTACCTTAATCGCAATCATCAGCTTTTCCTCTAATCATCGTTTCCATGTAATTTCCATCTCATCGGAAGGACTCGTTTATCATCGGTTTTCCATAATTATTGTTGTTCAACCCAATCAATCAATCAATCGATAAACAAATTGATTATTTGCCCATATTCACGCTATAAATCGAAATTGAACGTAGAATAATTTCTATAAATTAATTTTAACACTCACCAAATTATTTCCACTCACATTTCCGTTTCTTCTCAGCTATTTCTAATAACAATTTTTGTTTATTCCCCTAGCAACATAACAGTTTCATTTTTTTTTTCTCGTATTGATATTGTTTAAAGTAGAGTGAGTAGGCAACTTTAAATATCGGTAAGACGATATTTTGTATAACTTTAGTCAGCCAGTATCAAGTGTAGTAATTAAAGAAAGCACGTAAGCTATTAAGTTTTTTACGTAATCAATGAATTGTGTAACTTGATTTATTGAAATCGTTATTATTTAAAAATTAAATCGCAGTTGTAATCGCAAAGGATTTTTTGAATTTTGAGGTTTTCTTCTGTAATTTAACGCGTCGTAATTAGAATAATAATAATGTTAATTAATACTTGTGTTTTAATTGACTTACAGATGGAGCTGCTGTTGTCGTTTGAATGTCAAGTTTAGGTAATTATATCTGTGCTTTGCTGAATTCGTTCTAATTGTGATTGAATTTTCAGGGCATTATTGGGTTGGATTTGGAGATTAACTGGTGATTTTGGTGAGTGTTAATGTGGGAGATTGAATCGTAAAAAGTGTAATTTTTGCTTGAAGATTCAAAAATATATAATTTGGAGGAAAGGAAGAAATGTGACGATCCACAAAAGATGCTAACTGATTGACAAAGAGTCGTTTAGCAGTTTGTTGAATGCATATGCCCCCCCTCTATCGATGGGTAGGAGAAATCGGCGAGTCGTCGTCACATGACAGCACGTGAATACTAGGCATTCGCAGTTGATGGAATTCGTCAGACTGTAGAAGACGTGTGGTGAAAAATGTCGTATCCAAGCACTCTGAACGCCAGACAGGCTCACAAGGAGCATGTCCTCGCCGTTTCAAGGGATTTCATCTCTCAGCCGAGATTGAGTAAGTTTACAACAGCAATCTTGAAACCCTTTACATATTCGTAATTTGTTCAGATTTTTACGCGCACACGAAGGGTGTGGGTCAATGGTGACCCTCCCGAAACAAAACTATCTAGGTCACAAGATCCATCCTTTAACCATCTGAATCCAACACTCCACCACTCGTTCAATATTCCCTTTAGTAATCGTAATTCAAAGCGTAATTCCTCTGGTGGATTTCAATATCTTCGCTTTCCTCGCCAAAACGCAACACCAATCAGCTGTTCGCAAGATCATGTGACATCCCATGACAGCCACTCCTCGATCCGATCCTATACGATTTTCACCCAATTCCAAACCCCTCGCATCCCCCAAAACCATACATACAGCAATCTAGATTAATTACACAGTTTATCAACATAATTTCCATTGATTTTCATTTAAAAAAAAAATCCTCGCGTTCTCTTTGCATTGAAAGGACAGTATTGATCACATGATAATATTATGAAGTGTAATTGCTTCTTTTTTAATGTTTGTTCATAGAGAAGAATCGTCGTATTGCATTATAGAATCTCGAGGAGATTCGTTGCGTAACGTTGTTTAAACAGTGTAAATTAATTCGGTTTTATTGCTTACGGGAACAAACAATGTTTTACATAAGCGCGTAGATGTCTGTACAAGTCACATGGTTTTGGGTGGATTTGGTCAATTATCAAGTTTTAGTGAATTGAGCATGTGATTTTAACCAGCAATTCAATAACAATTATTTCAATTTAATATTGAAATGAATTTTTATCCGACCTAGATTTTAATCGTTAATGCTTTGTGAATATTAAAGAGTGATTTGGTAAAGGTATTTGAGAAAGTTTTAAAGGATTGATTGATTTTTTTTTTAGCTTACAAGACTGTGTCCGGTGTGAACGGTCCTTTGGTCATCTTGGACGATGTCAAGTTCCCGAAGTACGCTGAAATCGTGCAACTCTGTTTGGCCGATGGAACTCTTCGGTCGGGGCAAGTGCTCGAGGTCAGCGGTAACAAGGCCGTCGTCCAGGTGTTCGAAGGAACCTCCGGAATCGACGCCAAGAACACGCTGTGCGAGTTCACCGGTGATATTCTGAGGACTCCCGTGTCTGAGGATATGTTGGGGAGAGTCTTCAACGGCTCCGGCAAACCCATCGATAAAGGTTCGTGTTTTTCGTTGATGATTTGTGAGAATTGTAATTGATTTTCTTTCTAGGTCCACCAATTTTGGCTGAGGATTTCTTGGACATCCAAGGTCAACCCATCAATCCGTGGTCGCGTATCTATCCCGAGGAGATGATCCAAACTGGTATCAGCGCCATCGACGTGATGAACTCGATCGCTCGTGGCCAGAAGATTCCCATTTTCTCCGCTGCCGGTTTGCCGCACAACGAGATCGCCGCGCAGATCTGCAGGCAAGCCGGTCTCGTCAAGGTGCCGGGCAAATCAGTGCTCGACGATCACGAGGACAACTTCGCCATCGTGTTCGCCGCGATGGGTGTGAACATGGAAACGGCCAGATTCTTCAAGCAGGATTTCGAGGAGAACGGTTCCATGGAGAACGTGTGTCTGTTCTTGAATCTGGCCAACGATCCGACCATCGAGCGTATCATCACGCCTCGTCTCGCGCTCACCGCCGCCGAGTTCCTGGCCTACCAGTGCGAGAAGCACGTGCTCGTCATCCTCACCGACATGTCCTCGTACGCGGAGGCTCTGCGCGAGGTGTCCGCCGCCCGCGAAGAGGTGCCCGGCCGTCGCGGTTTCCCCGGTTACATGTACACCGATCTGGCCACCATCTACGAGCGTGCCGGTCGCGTCGAGGGCAGGAACGGCTCCATCACCCAGATCCCAATTCTGACCATGCCCAACGACGACATCACCCATCCCATTCCCGATTTGACCGGTTACATTACCGAGGGTCAGATCTACGTCGACCGTCAGCTCCACAACAGGCAGATCTACCCGCCGGTCAACGTGCTGCCATCTCTGTCGCGTCTCATGAAGTCCGCCATCGGCGAGGGCATGACCAGGAAGGATCACTCTGACGTCTCCAATCAATTGGTAACAACAACAAAGACAACAATTTAAACAATTCACCTAATAATCATTCAATTTCACTATTACAGTACGCGTGTTACGCCATCGGCAAGGACGTTCAAGCGATGAAGGCCGTCGTCGGCGAGGAGGCGCTCACCCCGGACGATCTCCTCTACCTCGAGTTCCTCACGAAGTTCGAGAAGAACTTCATCACGCAAGGCAACTACGAGAACCGCACCGTCTTCGAGTCCCTGGACATCGGCTGGCAACTGCTCCGCATCTTCCCCAAGGAGATGCTCAAGCGTATCCCGGCTTCGACCCTGGCCGAATTCTACCCGAGGGATTCGCGTCACTAACTTTCTCTTTCTTTAAAACTAGATGTTCTCTTATCATTTATTATTATAATAATAATTTTTTTTTTGTTTATTTTAGATTCCCCACAAAGTAAGTTGTAAATGTATCTGTAAGTAATGTAATTACTCAACAACAACAAAAAAATTTGTTTGAATTTTCGTGCAATTTTATTCGCAATTTATTTTGTACAAAAAAAAAATATGGGTTTCATTGTAAATTGTGCACACACACACTACACAACAACAACAAATGTTAAGTACACGCGACAACAGAAATGCTCCACTTTTCTGTCGTTGAAATGCGAATTAAGAAAGAATCAAGGGAATGCTGTACATTAAATTAATATAAATATTCTCTTATAGTTATATCTTTTCTTTACGCATAGTTACGAAAACAAACAAACAAAAAAACAAAACACGTATATACTTATTGAATATATATTGTTAGCATTGTATATTTTTTTTTTCTCCTCAGTATTTTAAAATCACCTTTTTATTAATTAGTTAATTAATAATTCTGTTAAACTCGTTTAAAGAAGAAAAAAAGTTGTCCAAGAACATTCCATTTGTTTAATTAATTAATTGATTCGAGATTTAACAACAATAGTTTTCACCTAGTAGGCATTGTTGAAATTCGTCTGTTAATATTGTTATTTAATTAATTTTGTTTTTCTTATCTCCATGGTGAACGGATGTTTTGTTTT